AGGGTGTCCATCTTATAAAACATTATAATCTTTATATATAGAAACGCACGAAAAGTTTGTTTGTTTGTTTGGATTTCGCGCAAAGCTACACGAGGGCTATCTGCGCTAGCCGTCCCTAATTTAGCTGTGTAAGACTAGAGGGAAGGCAGCTAGTCATCCCCACCCACCGCCGCCAACTCTTTTACTGTCACATTATAACGCTCCCACAGCTGAAAGGGCGAGCATGTTTGGAGTGACGGGGATTCGAACCCTCAGATTGCGAGTCGAGCACCTTAACCACCTGGTCATGCCGGGTGCACGGGAAGTATACTTTACTAGATAGATTGATGGTCAGGGTGAATTTTTGTTTCACTCTGAGTACATAGCTTACTCTTAGCGGAAGTTTTTATTGTTTAGTTAGTTTTTCAGCTTTAGGGATATTCTATTTCAAGATTTCGACTTCAGACTAAAGATTTTGTGAGATTATTTGTTTATGCTAGTTTGTAACTTTTATTTATGTTTCTTGGTTGTGAGCACTTTAAGGGTTTATTTACTTTCACATTTGTTTACTCATTTATCTTGAAACTTAATTTCTAGCCTGAACTGTTGATAAAGACTTATTAACTCTTTTTCTCCTCCATCTTCCCTCTCTCCAAGTTTTCACAACACACCATAAACACTTGCCTTTATTTAACTTGTATTTCTGCGATAAAGATTGTTGATATATAAAATTTGGTGTTCAGTCTTTTCTCCGAGACAATCTCTGTTCAAAGTAAGGAAGAGTCGGATCGTTACTCCGTGATATAGTATCCGATGGATCTCCTCTTTCTGTGGATTCTACTCGTCCACTGTGAAGAAATCAATCAATTAGAGAATACTACACTTATAAAAAGTGAAAGAATTGTACTATTTTAGTTGTATAGGATTTTGGATACTTTTGTTTATGCTATATTTTATAACGGTAAAAGGTTATGCTTCCCTAGACATTCGTGTGACTGTAGAATATAGATAAACAAGTTCCTTTTTTGTGTCGGCTTTTTTATCCGGAAATTCTCCTTTACACTCAAAGGTTTATTTTGTCATGTTATTATTATATGTGAACTTTTTTATAGCCACTTCTTTACTTTCCCAACCTTTGTTAAATCGTATTTTATTTCATTATGTTTATCCTTTATATTTAATTTGTGTTAAAGGTTTGGCATTCGTCCGCCATTAATAATTATATAGATAGGTACTTCTCCATCGTTCGATCGATAGGGGGCAGCAATGTTGATAATGTGGAGTTCAATAATAATATTAACAAGTTACGGATAACGTTTGGACTTTTGTTATTTACATATGCTTCTTTATCCTTTGACAGTTTTTTAGTCTAGTCTAGCTTCAAATTTATGGCCTGATAAACAAAGTGCTATAAAAAGGTAAGATTTTTAAATTGGTGTTAAAATTATTCATTGTGATTTATACAAATAGTTTGAATTAGGCTCTACACTCAACTTAGAAAAAAATGTTTTATTTTTATTTGGATCCTACTCTGTTAATCCTTTCCTAAACTTTAACTTGTGCCCTCTCTTCCCGTCATTTTTAAAATATAGCACAAATAAATCAGAGATCTTAATGCGATCAATTCCTACCCACCCCCCTCTAGACTAGCAGTAGTAGTACTAGTAATACTACTACTAGTAGTATAAACTGTGACAGTGTAACTCACTAACTGTAAGATAACTCCTCTTTCCCTGGAATCATTCTACTACTAGTGATAGTACTAGTAGCCCTTCTCATAACTTTTTCCAGCAAGTTGGTATCTGTTTTGGGATCAAAAGTGTTCATAGTAAATTATGGGCCTATTAGTATTAGTCTTGCATCAGTTGTGGGAAAAGTTTTGAAATGTCTGATCAAAGTTTTAGACATTTAACAAAGTTTAAAATCTTATTGGATAGTCAACTTGGTTTCATTAAGGAAAAATCTTGCCTTACAAATCTTTTGATATTCTTTGAAAAGGTTACTGCTTAGGTAGATGAGGGTAGGGGTGTAGATTTGGGGTGGTTAACTGCATCAAAGATACTGCAGACTTGCAAGGAGATTTAGGTCATTTAATGCATTGGACCAATACGTGGCAGATTATGTTTAACTATCCAAAATGTAAGATTTTTCAGAATTCATGTTATTGTTACAATTTAAATGAGAATACATTAAATACTGTGGTTGAAGAAAAGATCTTGGTGTTGTGATAAAAAAAATTACTTAAGTCGTCTAAACAGTGTATTGTAGCTAGCAGTAGGGCTAATAGGATTTTAGGTAGCGTCTATAGAAATTATGAATACAAGACAAGGGATATTATTGTTTCACTGCATAGATCACTTGTAAGGCTTCATTTAGAGTACTGTGTACAGTTTTGGGCTCCCTTCCTCAAGAAGAACATTGATTTGTTGGAGAAGGTTCAGAGAACATCCACTAGGATGATACCTGGGATGGTGGGATTGTCCTAAGAGGAGAGATTAAATTCTCTAAACTTGTTTTCTCTGGTGAGGAGAAGGGTCAGAGGAGATTTGATTGAGGTGTTTAAGATTATTAAGGATATTGATAATATAAATCCATCAAACTTTTTATGTGTTTAGCAGTGAAAACAATAGGACAAAGGGTCATTAATTCAAATTTTAATACCATAGGAGTTGTCTGCAGTTTAGACAGTATTACTTTTTAAATGGGGTGGTTGGCTTTTGGAATGAGCTGTCTTCAAGGGTGGTGGAGGCAGAAAATGTAACTGAGTTCAAGAAAAGATTGGCTGAATACATGAGTAGTATGGGGGTGGTTATAGTTGGGAGCTGGAAAGGACAACATTGATGGGCTAATAAGCTCCTTTTTGTTCCTTTAAAATTTTATGAACTAGCATCCCCTTCTTGCAAGCAAGCATCTAAATGAAAATTATAACTTACAGCAATTCAATGAAATAAAACTTCAAAATTCAAGGTGACAAAGGCTATATTATGATCTGGACATTTTTATTTACAACCACAAAGGAAAATGTGAAAATCAAGAAGCCTAAAGGTAAGACCTCTGCAGGCTCTCACCCTGTTGGGCTAATTGTTGGACCACTTTCTTTCAAAGTTTACATTGGTAATATTGTTTTTCTACAGTTTGTGAGATTCTTATGTTTTAGATTCCATAGTTTTAATTAATTCTTTGTGCTTCTCAAACAGACATAGACTTGTAAGTTGTTAGTAATGTAATGCATTATTCTATTCTGATTAATTTGCATAAGTTGGTATCCTTTCTTAGATAAGGAACTCAAAACTGTGTAAAATATTCCATGTGAGGCCTAACTAGTGATTTATATTGAGATATAACTACCTCTTTTGACTTATAAGTACATCTCAAGATTCCATTATGTTTAGAACCAGCAATATAACACTGATTTGATGGCTTGAGTGACTTATCTACCATTGTGTCAAGATTCTGTGCCTCAGAAATGTTATTGATTGATTCTCATCTCTATTAAAAGTGATTCAAGTTATGGTAACCCAAATGTATTATCTGGTATTTAATATAATTAAATGTTTTTTTCGAACTGCTTACTTCAGAATTTATGAACATGCAATGTTTTCCAACATGAATAACAGAACATGTAATGTAACAAAATCCTTTTAATGGGTTATTTATAGATTATTTATTCTATGATAATGCATAATAATTCACTTAGAAGATCAAATATTCATAAAAAATTTTGATTTTATGATTCCGTTTGTAACTATCTAGCTGCAACTATTTGGATTTATATTTAATGTTCAAAGTGTCTTAAATTGTTAAAATATTTTTATATTAGTTTTAAGGTACATTCTAACTAAATAGTCCAATTTTGCCATAAATATGATATTGGTATGGTTGTGAAATAATTTTTATTTTAATAATAGACTGCTATCTCATGATATGCAAGTTATTATTCTTACAGACTTTCTCTTTTCATCTTCTTTATAGTCAAAACCAGTAGGTTCTTTCATGTAACACAAATGATTTAGGCCAGGCTAAGCTACCTGGTAAAAAATCAACTTGGTTAAGATTACTACTGATTACATTGAAGGGCTCTGGGGTGTCTACACCTTCATTAATGGTTATATTATTTTCACAGGTATAGGGATGGCTTCTCCTTTTTCACTTTAGGTTTATTTTATCTTAAATAAACTGTCTTTATGTTATTATTTATAATAATTAGATTGCATTGTTTCATCACTTGGGTATATTCTTCATTAGTGATATTTTTGGCTGTAATCCTAGTATCTCAAGATGTTTGACTATTTTAGCTAATAGTACAAAATAAAACTTATTATAATTATAAAAAAATATACAAATACAAAAATTTTAACCAGTACTGTTAATGAAAGTAACATTAAAGTAGTGGTAATGGTGGATACAACTGCCTAACTACATGTACACAAAAAATAATATTAGTTAATACCACTGTCACCCAACTGTATATGTAACATGATGTCATGAATGTTATTTGAAAAAAAAAGTTAGCAGACAAACTGTGGATAATATATTCTGTATCGTAATTTATGAATTGCTGCTGTATCGAATTATTGCTCAAATAACTGGGTCACAAGTGTTGTTGGGGAATTATTGCAGTTGAAGATATAGTGGAAGTATAGTGTTGATTTTTACTGAATTTTATAGCATAATTTTAAGTCTTCTTTTTTTTGATTTTCAGAAATAATTTAATGGTGTATGAAATGACAGACTTCTGGGGGAAAAGCTTAGGATCTTTTCAAAGCTTCCTATCCAGTAAAACTGGATTAAGCAGAGCTGAATCTGTAGCTTCTACTCTAGGTAGTTTAAGCTGTCAGCTACATCAAGAAAACTTTATTAAAGCTGTTGCATCAGCAGAAAGTAAACAGGTGAGAAACATCATGCATAAATAATTGATTTCCTTAGTCTATACTAATAAATATATTTTTTTGTGGTTCAGAAATATTCTTTTTTTTTCAGGTAGAATTTATATCATTGATTTAGTTTGATTTTCATGTATAATGCATCTATTTAGGTTTAAAGTATTTTGTTTTGGATTGATTATTGAAATGCATTATTAAATGGAATTTTTCTGTTTAAAGAGTTTCTATGTCTTTATATAAGACTATCATATATTTGAAATTAAAAAGTTCTATTGCATTTTTATTATGTTTAAGGGCAATTAGTTATCTAACAATTCTTGTAACACATTGAAATTATACTTAAATTACTTTATAAACAGTTATTTAAATCACAGCAAAACATAGCTGTATTAAATTGGTTCATATAAATTCCACTTAAATTAATAATACACGTTAAATCCATTTAATTAAAAGAAAATACACAAGGCTGTGTTTAATAAGATTTATATTTACTGACAGCTAATTGTTTTTTCATCAAATAAGGAAAGCATTAGTTTATATTTTAAGCTTTTCAATTACACAAACATGGATGAAAAAATACTTTTCTGGTTATAAACACACATTATAAGAATGTAGACACAATTTTTTATGTATTAATAACTTTATATATTTGAAATGTACTGTCTGTAAAAAAATGTTATTCAGTATATATTAAAACTTTTTGCTCTTTTTTAGCTTCTAAAATATATTGATAATTATATATGAGCTAAGTGCCTATTTTGGTTTAGTCGTATTATGCAACCAGTGATTCCCAGTAGGAACCTGATAGGCCACATCAGGCCCTTGAAAGCCTGATTTGCGACCCGCATTAGGATCAGATATTACAAAATAAGCAAAACTGTATTTTGGGAATGATGCATTCCTCAACAAGCTCAGGCTCAGTCCTTGGCTTCATGTTCATAACCTGAAGAGGCCTAGTGTAGAAAATAATTTAGGACCACTGTTTTGCACTTTTGTGACAAAAAAAAAGTTAAATCAGTTTAAAATTGTGCATGATACAATTGCCAACTATGCAGTGATTATGTTTAAAAATAGCTTTGTTTATGTGTCAAAATTTAAAATTTGCAACCCTTGCCTAAACCAAAAATAGCTTAAAACAATAAACTTTTAAGAGGATGTTAGACATAATTAATTTAATTCCACCAACAAAGCAATTTGGTACTTTTATTTTTTTATGAAATAACACACAGACACACTATTAGACTTTGTCTTTTATCAGATCATTAATCAGACTGTCTGGCCAGAAGTTACCACTTGTTGAGGAACCAGAGACAGCGTAATAACTGAGTAAAAAGTTATAAATCATTTAAACTGACCCAGAATTGACTCAACTAAGTCTAGAAATGCAGATTTTGACTATAAATTGATTCTACAGTAAACCATTTATTATGTGGGCATGCATGAATTATGAAAAAAAAAGCCATAACCAGGTAATTTTGTTAAATGTTGGGCCTTGTTTAATTTGTATGCCAGTTTATGTATATGAAGTATGCAGGTTGAGTGATTTGTTTTGTGAGTAAGAAAATAATAAAAGAAAATAAACTGGAGTATCATGACAAAAAATATTCATACATAAATGTTTCATTTAACAGCATTTGGTGTGGTAAGTTAGGCCTAGAGAGGATCTAACTTTACTACTGCTTTTAGGTTTACATTTATGTATGTATACCTGTGTGTCTATATACATATATTTAATAACTCACCCATTGAAGATGTTGAATACATTAGTTAACATTCTGTATTCACTTGCACATGTTCAGTGTACTGTACCTATGTAGATGAATATACAGGACAAATATTTAATTTTAAAAATTGTGTAAGTGTAAAAGCATACAGAAATTCATAAACATGTAGTGTTTTGGCATATGAAAAGGGATTATAGATTCTTTTGAATGTGGGAAGTGAATTTAAGAGTTTTGTAATCCATGTCCTAAAGGAAGGCCTGAATCCCAATGCAAGAAGAGTATTAGAATATGCACATTTGATTATATTCTGTTATACAATTAATTCTTAAATATATTGTACGAATGAGGTGTGAAGTTTATGTCTTTCTTGATTTTCGTATGTGTTGGGCAGTCATTTCAGAACTGCTTTATTATAAAAAGATTAGAAACAATTTAGCAACAGAACTTTAGATATTTTCCCTTAAATCACTTTTTGAATTAGTATTAAAAGATATTGTTTATTTTCCTACATTTTAAAATTAAATAACTTGTTTTTTAGTTAGTACTGTTTCAGTTTTAAGATGTAAATGTAACACCTGTAATTTTCAAAGTACTGATAAATTTATAAACTGTAACTTATGCATTTGTAATGAAGCAACTCAAATTATTCAAAAGTGGAAAATAATTTTACTTACTTGTAATTGACTTAGGAAGAAGAAGATTTGGTCAAGAAAGAAATCAATGTAGTAGAGAATATTTTATCCAAACCAGGAATTTCCCCAGTATGTATTTTTGCTTTTGGCATGCCAGCTTTATAAGTTAAATTTCAAGCCTTCTAAATAAAATTTAGTTTGTATTTTAATTTTGTTCACCTTTAGAAACCATTCATTTTCCATGTTTTAGGTCTCACTAAGTTTTAACATTCCCTAAATGAAAGGTTTCTAAAAGGAATAATCTTTGTTACATAAATTTAATAAAATGCTCTTTTGATATCTTTCAATTAGTTTTGCTTTTTGGGGAGAAATTCAGTTGTAATGTTTAAGTATCACTGATAGAATATGAAGTTTATCAAGTATTTTTCTGAAGTTATAGCTGGAATAAAGTGAATGAAATTTTGATATAATAAGTACTTTTATTCAATAATAAAACTGCGTAGCATATTCTAAAAGACATTTCAGTTTTGATCATGTATAAAGTTAGATCTAGCTGCAATTACAAGATCTGGTATTGATCAGTTATCAAACTGCATATGTTTGAAGTAACATATAAATGGAATCCTGTTAACTCTTTCAGCACAGGGACTGACCTTGTAACCATTTTATGCTTGTTATAGTTTTCATGCTCTAACTTTTAAGTTTGTAAGCGAATGTTAATGAAATTTGGCAGATCATCAATAAACATTACAATGCTTTCATAAGCAAAATATCAAATATTTTCATTAAGTATTAAAGTTTGTAAAGCAGTGTTATTCTCATGTCTTTTTTTTTCTTTTCACATGTTGCCTATCTATCATGCAAAGTAATATTCATTTTAAGATTAAAAATACTTCTAAGCATCAGAAAATTTTGAAATTTCACATATGAAATCTTTATAATGTCCAGATAGTTATCAAATGTTTCTTAAGAAAAAACTATATATTTTATCTGTTATTTTCAGTAATTAATCTCTGTAAGGATTCGGTAGATTTGACTGATCTCGCAACCACCATAAGAAATTAGGAAATAAATATAAATTATGCCTCTTTCATTCTAGAATGAACAGAAATTATAGTATGAAAACATAAATGTTTAGACTAAATAACTTAAATCTCATAACATTATACATTTATATATATTTATTATTTTCATTATATTGACCATTCAGCTGTACCTGGCTAACAATACAGAAGTTACAATAATGGGGCTCACGTGCACTCATGTTACCGCATCAAATAACATAAAACTGACCTTTGGTCTGTTCAAAGTAACTTGTCTTGTCTTGTCTTTGATTTAGTAGACTAGTATTTTGTAAAATACAGTCACATTTCTGTTATTATACATTATATATCTATATAGATTATTGCAATCTTGAAATAAGTTATTAAACATATTTTTCTTAAAACATAGAACATCAACTAAGGAAATAAAGGAAACAATTATCTCTTCTAGTTCCGAACTTTGTACTTGGTTGCTGTTTGATGCAGGTTGTTAAGCTTTTAAAAAATGTGTATATGGAGGATATAAAACAAAATATTTTTTTTGAGTTTTATATATACATTTGAATAACTAAAAAAAATCATAAATTATTACATTAATACCATAGAATTCCACTATAACTTATCAAGCTTAGTAACTAATATGTATTTTTGTCTAAGAAATGTGAAATTTTGAGCACATCCGACCTCATTGAAATATTGGTTCAAAAAAAAAAAAATGGCACCAAGCCTATTAAAATGGCTGAGAGAGCCACTAGGAGGACATTCTGAGCTTCCAATTGGTTATTCATATGATATATAGAAGTAAGTGTATATAAGAGAGCATTTCCAAAAATGGAAAGAGATGGGCGGGATGCCACTGTGTTTGATTTATTACATGAGCAAAATCTTAACAAATTAAAAAGATAAGAGGCTTTTATTTTATATTCTATTTGTCAATATCAGTAGTTTGAGTTTCTACTTCATACGAAACTATAGACTAAGTATTTTGACTTCACAAACATCTCATTTGAACCAGTGCTGCATTCAACATATCACGTGACACACAATAATTGTTTATCTGTGTTTTTTAATATTTGCTTTTAAATCAAGAATTGAGTAATATATGGTACAAAAATTTGAATTGTAATCTACAGTTTGATACCAAAGTTATTGACATAAATTCATGAAACAGTAGTTCAATAAAATTTTGAATATGAGATAACAAGTGAGATGACATGGCCTTTCACCCATGACCTGTCTCGAAAAGGTTAAGAGGATAGGATGTTCACTTATAAAACCTCTCACTATGAGTGTAATTACCAAACTATATTCTGTTGTTATGGTCAGAAAATTGGTGGGTCCTAGAGTCTCTTTTCACATAAATATTCATTATTAATTATTATGATAACATTTCATGGTATCCTAGTCAAATTAACAACAACGTATATACATGTAGATCTAGTGAGATATCTATAATATTTGGTTGGATGGTGGTAAAAATCAACTTACTAACTGCCGGACCATAACAACATAATGTAGTATGATGTTCATACTCATATTGAGAGGCTTTACAAGTGTACTGTGATGGTGATAGCTTTACTATAGGATAGAATGATGTACATACATAGTTTATTCTTTGACTTGAAATTGATATAAAAGTAACTTTGGTATTTTAAGATGTTGAGTTAAGACAAATTACATATTCATGTTTTATCATAGGTTCTGAAACAGAAAAGGTATTTACTACTGTATAACCTAATCACATAACATCTGCTTTTGTAAAGGAATATTGAACACAATATTTGTATTTCATTTATTTTATAGAAATTAGTGGAGCAGTGCCTTATCCAGGCTTTGTACTGTGAGATGTTGGGCTATCCAGTTACCTTTGCCTATGTTCATGCTGTGAAACTGGCTCAGCAGGGGAATATTCAGCAGAAACGAATTGGTATTTTAAAATAATCCATTAGCGATGTTTTAAAATTAGTTTTTTTATTACTGATGAAGGTTCAAGTAGAAGTAAAGTTAAAGAACTCCTTTAAGATTTTGTATTTATTTGAAATTGTTTCAAATCCATTGTTTTCTCATCATTATAATTTTCAACATCAACAGGTTATGGAGAGTTGAGTACATAATATTAAAATAATTTTAACTACGCAGATCAGCAAGTTGTTTGAAAACCACAGCTGATATAAAATTGCAGAGGAACAGCATGTATCAGGACTACATTTTGACATTTTCTGGTGTTTCATAGGCAGTTTGATGGCACTGAAAATTGACTGCTTCTGGAAACGGTATTTAACTGCCCTCCTAGTGCAAGATATTCATACACTTGGATCATATAAATGTGTTCAGATCAAGGGCCTTAGAATTTCCAAGATGGGAATACTCCTTGTACTTAATGGAATTGGATAAAAGAAATGTGTATTAACTTGGAGCATTGGAATAATCTAGAAAGAGACCTTCAACAAGCTGTACCCCAGCTGAGTGCAGCATTTTGTGACAGGTGAAAATCCAGGAGCACAATGGTCAGTGGCGAAAGCTGTCTGTGTACCCCAGGCAATAATATACAACATGATCAAGAAGGATCAAGTGTAGAAAACTGTATGAATGGTAATTAGCAAGAGAAAAATGGCAGTATATGGTAACACTTGAAGTGTATGCATACCTTGATAACTGGGACAAGTCTTTTACCATTTTTTACTGGTCAGTGGGTGGAAAAAAATTTCTAAAAGCAGTACATGGCATTTACATATCTTTTTTTTAAAGGGGATTATAGGGATTAGAGAATAGATTCAAACATCAAGGTGAACTCTGTTTTCTATCAGATTAATTCTGACCCATTATAGCACACATACAGCTTGGTATGTAAATGAGAACAATAGTGTATGGGTTCACCAAGACAATGGTTCCAGTCATATTTCCCATTCAGCCATTGCCTACTTCAGGCATCTGGAAAATAAAACATGTTATTGCATATGAAGAGATATCAGTAAAGTTACCAGAAGCAGTGCTTATGGATTTCTGTGCAATTAGACAGAAAAAATGCTACAACCATCTAGTCTTATTAAACTTTGGGCATTGTTAGGTGTATGCCAGTTGATATATATGAGGTATGTTAGTTGAGTGATTTTGTTTTGTGAAGTAAAAATAAACTGGAGTACATAATAAAACATATACATACATATAGCATTTTATTTAAAAGCATTTGATGTGTTAAGCCTAGAGAGAATTTAACTTTGCTTGCTAATGCTGCTTTTAGGTTTAAATTTCTGTGTGTGTTTATGTATGTGTATATATATATATATATATATATATATAGAGTGAGATGTGTGTGTATTTAAAAACCACTGTAGAGGTTAAGTATTAGTTAACCTTTTGCATCCACAATTGAAATATCAAAATTTATAATGATATTGAGTGTTGTGAAAATAATCGGCTAATTGAAATTAGGGTGTCCCATTATTTCTATTTTCAATTGTTCCAACTATCCAAGTAATCAGAATATTGTTAATATGTTTAGTTGTTATTAAGCACAGTGATACATAGAATTATCTCTGCTATTTCTAATTTTAGTCTTAAGAGTTTATTCAGATTTGATAATTTTTTTTTTGGGTGGTGAGGTGTCATGATTAGAGGATCTTCAATTCCAAACTTGCTCACATTGTCTTTGTTAGGGCAAATCTGCTATCTATCACTCACTATTTTGAACTGCTGAATAGAGGAAAGGCAACTGTTGGGCAGCACCTACTGGCAACTTTTTCTCTCCATCTTTAACTGTTGACTAAAGGGAAGGAAACTGGCTGGTAGCACCCACCATGAACTATATTTTTTCTTCTTCTTGAACTGCTGAATAAAGGCAACAGATACTGCTTACATTTTCTTCGTACTAATTACACAAAATTATACTAATTGTTTAATCAAGTGTAATCAATTTATGGGGCCATTTATTAAATGAGCAAATATGAATAAATGCCAAGGTCTAGCCTGTGGCCATGTTCATGGTACGTGTGACACTTTTTATTGGCTTTCAATTCTTCCTGATTAATAAACTACAGTAAACTAAAAAGTTAAAGTACCAATATTCACTATGGTCCAAATGAAGTTTCAAAACCAATATGCAATTAGTTCTGTGCATATTTCACATCTGTTGCAAGAAGATATGTCTGTTTCAGAACACTTTTATATGCTATCTGCCATATAAAGTGATGCACTGAATCTGTCTTGAGATTTTATCAATATCTGATGTGATACTTTGATATCACTTTAATTTTGTTTATTGTTTATGTGTAATTGTGTGACAAAAAATTAACTGCTGATGTCAGGTGGAGATTTTTGATGAATATACAAACTGACAGAGCTATTCAAATGTTAGGAAACTGTAGTGAGAAGGCTGTAGCTTGCTGTCAGACAACTGGCTATATAGTTAGACAGACTAGAAAGTCTGGGAAGTTCTGAAGATTAACTGTGGCATAATATTGCTGTGTACTCAACAAGGCCAACAGAAATCACCATTCCACTGTATATAAACTTGATATGGATTCCAAGCCATTGTCATTGATTAAGTGATCAGGAACAGACTTCATGACTCTTCTTCAGTTGATTGCATACCAACAGGCAGATTATCTGGACTTTTGTTGTCATTATCAGAACTGATGGCAATACCAGTGGACAACTTTACTATCAGGATATTATTTCTTTGGCGTTGATTGACAGGTTTATATCTGGAGATCCAGAGGTAAAGAATATGCTTATTGCAACATGGTAGGATTTAACTGTTTTAGGTTGTAGTTCAGTTACTGTGTGGGGGAGGCATAAGAATAGACTTGCAGATTTTATAGCACTTTTAAGGGGTGGATTTACTTTGGTATATTTAACACATTGGACTCAATCATATGACTTTATGCATGTACAATTTTTACTAGCTGCATGATAATGCTAGTTTAATGCTATCAGGGTTGTGATAACTTTCTTGAATAAAAAGCAATGGAGGTCATGGATTGACCAGCTGTTCTTCTGATTTGAATCCCATACAATGTCTCTGGAACCTCAGAAGGTGCCACATGTATCAGTACATTAATCCACCATATGATATCAGAGAACTTAGCACTGTGTGTGTACACATGTGAGCACAGTATTATGTTTTACTTTCCATGCAAAAAAAAATAAATAATATTAAAGAAATTGTAGAAATCTTGCTGCAAACCTTTAATACTTTAGACTGCAATTGGCTCAAAGCTGCCAGTTTTGACTGTGAATCAATAGAAATATGTTAGTACTGTTTGTGAATATATTTACAGATACTGTATACTGTTGAAGAGGAAAATGTGCATCTCATTGTTTCTTAGACATGCAGCTGAAAATGTTTCTTTGTTTCTGTTATTAGGATATTTAGCCTCTAGCCAGTTTCTTAGTATGGAGAATGAACTTGGGTTACTTCTTATTAACACAATACAGAAGGTAAGTTTATAATTAAACATGTTGTAAGTCATTACAAGCTGGTAATGACTTAAATCTCTTTTAAAAGCTACCTCTACATCAATAGACTCAATTTCTTGAGTGTTACTAATTTTGAGTTTTGGGTAATTGTTTAAAGGATAATGCTCTGAGGTTACAATATTACATGTGATGTAATGGGATTAGTAAAGCCATTAACAAATCTTATTGCTAGTTTTTGATCCACACTATTTATAGGAATCTATTTATACTTCTCCACTGCAAATTTCTGAAGCCTTTACATATACTGTTTTGTTGAAAAGCATGGCAAAATGTTTCCAATCTTAAAAATGTTCATTATTGTTGTTCATTGTATCTATATCATTTTACAGTGTATTGTTCTGAACATTGTCAATGTCTGTGCCATTAAAAATTCCAAAACATACCTCCACTGCCACTTATAGCTATTACTATGGGTTTCTTCTTTGCCCATCTAAGCATGTCTGATTTTTTTTCTCGCTTGGTCCAGTCTTTTATACCCCACTCAATTGTTCTTGGCAATAATTGTCTCGTCATACTCTCCACCTATGTCAGTGCACCCTCTATCCTGTTACTGTATATAAGCACCTCATTCAGATAATTTTATCACTTTTTCTTGACAGTGTCACTAATGGGTTACCCAGTATTACAATCGTTTGGAGATACTTTGAATGTCAACATCTTATCTAGTTTATTTCATAATAATAATAATTTAAAAAAATATGTTTTTTTTCTTCATCCAATTAGCAAGCCAATTATGGTATGAATTCCTGGATTCTTATTTCTGGCACAGAGACAACTTAGGTTTCTCCTTCCTCACCTCTGATATCTAGCAATTCACAACAATTGGTGAGGGAGGAGTTGCTCTCAGTTGAGATTGTCAGTGATCTTATTTGTAGTAAGATGGAGACATATATTCAGATCTGTGGTGGTCCTTTTGGGGGCTCTGAGGCTGCAATTGAGAGTGATCTTTGACATTTTGGAGAGACTTTAGATTCACTTTTTTCTGTACCTTCTTTTAGTCTGGATTTTCAGCCACCTGTGGGTCAGTGGTAAGTTTGTGGAATTGCAGCACTGGTGTCCAAGGTTTGATTCCCTAGGGTGGACGTGGCAGATGGTTTGAAATTGCTTTGCTCTAACAAAAACGACTTACTTTACCTCACAAAATGCTGTTCCAATCAGTGATAATAACCATAGTCTTTAAATGACCTATGCAAAACGAAAAGGAGGCCACTTTGGGATAAGCTACCTTTGATTTGTTTTTCTTCTGTTGGTTCTTCGAGTGTGTGATGTTTTGGACTTTTTCCTGGTAGCTTTTGAGTCTTCAACTTACTTGATGGTTGGATGGTCTGGGAGCAAAATTTTAGTTTTTTCTCTATATACGGATATTGCGGTTCATGCTGGAAGGTTTACTTCTTAGTTACGTGAAGGGGCAGTAAGGCCTTATCTGGCACGTTGTTGGAACTTCGTGATTTTGCCTACCGCCACCAGGTGGAGGCATTTTTTTCCAACTGTCAAATAATACATCTGCTTCTCAAATTTTGTGGTTCTAAGACAGAGTTTGTAGTTCACAAGTATAGGTCTATGTCCCCTGATGGGACAGAGTAAGTCTACGGACTTACAACTCAACTTCAACATTTTGTTTCCTTTCACTTAACTTTGTTAGACTCTCAGATTTACCAGCTTCATTGAGGACTAGCTGGATCCATTGTTATCATGCACAGCTTTTACTTTCCTCCCGGTTGTTTTTGGAGTTTCGAATTTCATCAGCTCCTAAGTGGAGATCATAGTTCTTCCCCTATTCATGAGTACTGATCCCTGACATCAGCTCCTTGGTACATTGGTGCTCAGAATAGGTTATTTCTATATATACAAGGTTTTCACTGCTTTATCGATTATTGTATACTTTCAGAGGCTGTGGGGGCTTGGTTCCAAGAATTTCTTGACATGTGGTAGACTTAATCATGGGTCCAGAAGTTCTGCAGGTCCTTGGGTCACAATTTGCTGTTCAGTTCACATCTTACTCACTATTATCTACCAAACCTGTAGAGTTTCCATCTCCTGGAGTTCATCAGGATTTGGAACTTATTTCTAGGGTTATCTGAGTCTGGTTGGTCTGAAGGTAGTGAGAGAGTTGGGCTAGTTCTTCAGAGTTTTTATTCCTGTCAGTTGTTGGGCCTTGTCTATATCAATGCCTAGATTCTCCAAGGTTCACATGTTACTCATTTCTCAACCTGTGTTGATTTTATTATTGGGATTGTAGATGTCCAACTTGGTTGTAGTCAGTTCTCACCACTATTGGTGTTTGTGGTGCACAAGGGTCAGGTACTGCAGTTTTGGGTTTTTTCTTTTGGACATAGGCTTAACATGGGTTCTGCCATATCATACAAATTTTCTCATCCTTTTCATTCCATCGTACTGTGCACACACCATTCCATGGACGACTGGTTACTGCTGGCAACATTTTGTCAATTGTTAGACCATCACATCTTGATTCTACTTTCAGATACAACCCAGGAAGGCTTCCCTTTCTGGACTGCAACATCTATTCTTGCTTCAGTTCATTGTAATCAGTCTGGGTATTTTTTATCTCATCTCTCAGTTGGGATCAGCTGTCTCACGTCCTGCTCAACGCTATAGAATAAGATGCTTACTCTTACTCACCTCTCCTTCTCCCACTGCATGGATGTTCTTTTTCTTCTGGGAATGTGGGCATCACTTGAATCCTTCATGCCTTTGGGACGAGAACACAAGTGGTTCTCTTATTGGTCTTTAATTGACCAGGGATCGTACACATCTATTTTCTGGGTTCCCCAGTTTCCTTATGGATTTTTCTTTGATCTTGAGGGGTTGTTAAGTTGGGACACTACTACGATTTGGGTTCCTTTACTATCATCTCGTCCAGAGTTGCATTCTCTTTATGAATGCCTTATTTCAGTGAAAGGATACATATACCAAGAGTCAGGAATTCCTGAGCCTATGCATGGATGACGATGATTCCCTACACAATGTTTTTGTCCTTCTCACTCTTCAATAGGCAAGACTTTATGGTCTGGGCTTATTAACCCCATCACCCTGGGTACTATTTACTGTGCATGACACAAGGTTTTAGTGTCTTACATTCAAAATTTTATTAAACTGCTTTTTGTTTCTGTTATACTACTTAGAATAGCATGAAATGTTAGCTAGTATTCCATATTTTAATAGTATATAAGTTTTAAGTTCTTAATTCTACAAGGCAATATTTAAAAAAATACCTGAATTTCCACTAGTGTCACGCACATGACACATTTTCTTTTTAGCATATCATCATCCCTATTTTATCCACCACCTCTCGAAAAAGTACGAAATTAAACTTAAAATACTC